TCTTTTTCAGATGACAATACTTTCATTAATTTCATATTAGCTGCATTGTCAGTCACAAAGCTTTTTACTGTGCATCTAAATTTATTCCTTACAAAATCTATTGCTTATCTTGCTAATTGTGTAAGATATTCACCAGTATGTGAATGATCAGAAGTGTTGATTGTTTCTACTAAAATGTTAATTTTATCTGTAATTACAGAGATACAAACTATAGGTTCATTATGTACATTACTCCAGCCATCTAAAGACATGGCTGCAATTTTCCCATTCAATACATTACATTTTTTCAATTTCTTCTGTGTATCTAATATTTCTCCTCCAATTTGAGTTCTATTAGGTAGAGTGTATCCTGGATGAACATATTGATAAATTTTTTTAAAAAAACAAAAACAAAAATCATATTGAAGATTTGTTATATTTGTTAACATAACCCTGTCTTAGTTTACTGTTGTAAGTTCAATTCTTTTTAAAAAAACATGAGTTTGGTTTAAACCAATATTTTTTTAATTGGTTTAAACCATGGTTTAAACCATTTCACAGTGAAACGTTTCATACAATCTAGCTGAACAAAAATATTTTGTTTACGAATTCCATTGTTCTAGCCATGAATGGTTTTAATAAACAATGTTTTGTTGTTTTATTGAATAATCACCCTGGTTTTAATAACTTTAAAGTTTTTTTTGCGCAGGGTAGAGGAAAAACTCCTTGCCTACAACCCCCCCCCTGTGCCCCATTCTCCCTCATTGCAACAACCACTGTTATAATAAAAAAATGAAGTAAATATATTTATGAAACAAGAATGCATAATATTATACAATAAATTTTATATTTAGTTATCAAAAAACTCGTCATTTATATCCACCAAACACTCATCACTTGAATCGTCAGATGACTCATCATTTGATTCATCGGACAAGTTACAATTTCCTATTATTGGAGCCAAAAAAATCAAATTCAAAACCTCTACTGGTAATTTGCTTCTTTTTGCAGGCAGTTCTCTAAGTAAATTGATAACAGGATCAGATGTTATTAAGAGCATATTCAGCAAATCCATATTTGTAGAAATACGTGACTTTTTCCTAGTGTGATGTTCTCGAAATCTTCTACAATCTTTGTTTCATGCTTCTAGAGATTCTTCTGAGAGCTGGCCAATCGGAAGAATACACGACTTTTTAACATCCGTGCTATGCAATAAAACTTTATGCACTGTAACATGCATGTAATACATGTTACAGTATTGTACTTTTGCCTATTTCTGATATAACATTTATCCTCCTTGCCTTTAACTTGCCACTTTTTAATGTCTAAACGGTAGCTAATGTGTAGCAGGCAAAAGTACAAGCATGCAAGGTAGAAAAACCGAAAATTGTAATTTTCTTTTTTATAAATTATACCTTTTAATTCACCATTCATCATTTTTAAAGTAGCACCGCAAATATAACATTTTTGTGTGGAGCGCGTATCAGTTAAAGCATTGCATACTTTTCCGTCTGTCATTATAAGTATCAGACATTACACAATGTTGAAAGAAGTTCAGATATTTCTTTTAAAATTTTGTCAGTTTCTATTACAGTAAATTCCTGTGTTTCTTTTGAAAATATGAATTTAATTGGTCGGCGATAAAGTGTTGACGATGGCCGAGGATTTTGCCAAATAACAGTATTAGAGTCATCACTCAAACGCAAAGACAAACAGAAAATCATTATTAGGATCAGAGTTCTCAAATCTTTGTTTATAGGTATTGTGGCCAGAACTTCCGTCACATCCCTATTTGCATATTAATGTAAGCGACAAATTAGAGGATGCATTTTTGGGAAATTGACATAGTGTTTCAATTAAACGTTCAGTTGTTTTGTTCAATATGGCTTGAATTTTAATTTCAGCTTGTGTTTTTGAAATAAATTCTTCTGGAGGGTAACACAACCTTTTCGATTTACATAAATTAAAGTTAGACGGAAACACTTCATGCCCAGCTTTCATTGACCATTTTCTTGTTTGTTTATAAGAGTGACTAGTACACTTGGAGTCTACATAATAAGCAAGTGCCTCATCGCTACTCAACTGTCTGATACCACAAATAACACCTGTAGATTTTCTTCGCTCTAAGGTTTCTGTACTTTTTCTAATAGATGTAGCTACGTTTCTTTGACCCGACAAATGATGTGCTATTTCAGCAGCCGCTGTTATTTCATTGGCACTCCACAATTGTTATAAGTCAAATGCGGTAGTGGTGTAGTGGTAGAGCGCTCGCTTCATAAACGAGTGGTTCCGAGTTCGATCCCCACCACGTCCCTGGTAGTACCGCGCTCAACTCGTTTCTCCGCGCAGCGGCCTTGTTTGTCAAGGTTCGTGTTTCGGAGTTATAGAGTTGAGAGAGGGTTATAGCCACAAAATAAGTAGCCTCCTTGTTTGTAGTGGCCTTCTCGGCCTTGAGGAGGTGAAGTAAAATAAAAAAAAATTAAAAAAAAAAGTCTTGAACTCTACGTCTTTTGGTTTTTAA